GTGTGTTACCTGTTGTTCTGTCTGTACAGCACTTTGGTTGGCCTTGTAGCTGGTTTAAGTGCTTTATAAATAAAGTGGTATGGTATGGTATAGTATGGTAGGTGTGGAAGTATGGCACCCTCTGATCACCAAAGACAGACATGGAACACAAAGAACCAAGTGTTCACTCAAGATCTTTGATTAAAACTGCGTGGAGGCAGTGGGTGGTATGCATTCCTTAATGAAATGCTAGGTTCTTTTTAGATTAGTTCTATTTAATCAATAAAAAGAGAAAATACTATAAATAAATACTTTAAATAAAAACAACCTCCTCTTGTCAAAAAGGTATACTGTAGTGAGGACAGAATATTGAAATGTCAAGTTACATACTTTGATAACCTTTTTGTTCCATAAGTAACTTTTACAAATCAAGCAGCTAATAAAATTGCAATTCATCCAGCCATGCTGATTCAAAAAACACAAATTCAGTTAAAGCCTCAACAGAAACTAAAATAGCAACACAAAATAAAAAAATGAAATAATTAAGCAACATTTTTGATAAGAATGCAAATTTAACCATTTTTTCCTATATGAAAATTACATCTGTGGAATATCATATCAAGCTAAAACAGTTGCTAAGGTTTTCCAACTTTTGCAATCTGCTTTTGACATCATCCAGTCAGACTTACTCAAACTTGTCCTAAATGCCGATAAAACCAAAGGGATGTTGTTTTCAAACAGGAAGTCAATCCCAGCAGTTCTTCCTTTGATTTTATCCTCAAATGGTGTTCTTATTGAGTTTGTCGATGCCTACAAATATTTGGATATCTTGGTCGATTTGTATCTCTCTTCTAAGCTTCATGTGGAAAACTTGGTAAGGAAACTGAAAGTTAAATTGGGTTTCTTTTTCAGAAATAGATCCTGTCTAACTCTCAATGTTAGGAAACACCTTGTAACTGTAACTTCTCTCCCCTCCATTGATTACGGTGACATTATTTACATGAACGCTCCTACAAGAACCCTGCAGATGTTGGATGCTGTCTATCATGGTGCGCTAAGATTCATAACTGGCTGTAACTACCGTACCCATCACTGCACCCAGTATTCACTGGTTAACTGGACATCATTAACTTCACTCAGACTCTCCCACTGATACATTTTCATCTTTAAATCACTTCTTGGTCTGCTGCCTTCATACATCTCCTCCTACACGTCTCTGAGTGAGTGCAGCTACAGTGTGCGCTCTCAGGACATTATTACCTGCAGTGTTCCCTCAGTGAGGACTGAACTAGGCAAAAGTGCCTTCTCCTAATCCGCTCCTGTTTCCTGGAATATCTTTCAAAAAGATCTGAAGTTCTCGACCTTGACCTCTCTAAGTGGCTTCAAACATCTGACAAGTTCCTGGCAAAAACCAATACAGACATGTTCCTGTTTTTAGTTTTCTACACCGCCTTACAATCTAGCAGTTTTTGTTTGGTTTTTTTAATACCATTTTATTTTCACTTGTTCTCAATTTGTATGCTTTTTTATAACTGTTTATTATTGTCTTTGTTGTTTACTGTTGTCATCACTCTTTGTTAAAATCAGGTCTCTCTTGTAAATGAGTCCCCAAAGCTCAATGTGATTAACCTGTATAAATAAAGGTTAAAACAAACAAACAAAAAATTACCATTCTATGACTAGCATAAAATGCACATAAAAGCTTTGTTGAAAAATATATTTTGTCAGGATCTGTTTTTATTTTGTTAGCTTGCTCATAGTCCCTGTGTGTTTACTAGATTTATTTATAGGGGAGTGGTGGTGCAGAGGTTAGAGAAGGTGGGCCTGTGATCGGAAGATCGCCGGTTCAAGCCCTGGTACCAACAACATCAAAAATGTGGGTGGGGTAGGTGAAGCACCCACACCTCCCTCCACCCTCATTTGCCCCACTCTGGGCCCATGAGCAAGGTCCTTAACCCCCATCTGCTCCCTAAACAGGTCTCTCTTGAAAATGAGTATTCGTGGCACAATGAGACTACCTGTATAAATAAAGGATAAATGAAAACAATACATTATGTTTTGGGATTCTTATATTCAAAAGTTTTCATTTTTTTATCTGTCTTTGTGTTTTCTCTGCGCCAATAATCACTCAGTTAGCTTGCCACTCCCACTCTCACCTGTTCCCAGTCAGCATTCAGCTGGTGTCTGGTGTCTTCACTTACTCTTCAGCCTTTTTCCATATCTTCAGTCTGTTTTCCTCCTCTCGTTAGCAGAGCATTGTTGATTTTTACACCACAGCCCTGTCACCTCCTTGTGCTTCCTTGTGTGTTTTGTAGACTTTTGCTGCCACATTGGCATTTTTTGATACAAGTCTCCTGCTACTGTGACACCTTAATGATAACCTAAACCCTTTTCAGTCAGTGTCAGGAATAAAATGAAAATATACAATAAAACCTTTGAGCAATTAAACCTAAACCTATCTGTCTTGAGGATCCAGTTTATGTGCCGTCTGTTTGCCATAACGTGTGTTTCTGCTGCAACTACAAAATACACAGGCTTCTTGATCCTTCAGTGCTAGGGACTTAGAAAGAAAGATGAAAACATTAAATTACAGTGATCTAGAATGGCTCTATTGTTAGAGAGCAGCTGTTTGTAGTCACATGCATTTATGCAGCTCTATGATCAAAAGACTTCAAAGTAGATTGACTTGCCAGCTAGCATCAGGAGACTGAATTAAAGAGGAAAATATGGACTACATTGACTTCAGATTGTCTCCCACTTTCCCCTAAAGTCTCGGCAAAACTTCTTCATCCTGTCTTATAAGTTTTGTGCTGTAGAATGCAGAGGTTAAATTAAAATGTGACAAGTACCAGAGTTTGGTCAAAAATGTTTAATCTGTTCAAAAAATGTCCATTAGCTGCCATCGCTGCAACATCTCAGATGTGACTTTTCATCTTGAGCCGCTCTGTTATCCATGATAATGATAATCTATATAAACAACGCTGAGGTGGAGCTGGTCAGCAGCTTCAAGTTCCACAGCGTTCACATCACTGAGTATTTGTCCTGGACATTACATACAAACACTGTGGTCAAGAAAGCCATATAAAGACTCTACTTCCTAAGAAGATTAAAGAAGTTTGGTACCAACACCAGCATTCTCACAAACTTATAGGTGTATCATTGAGAGCCTGCTGACAGGCTGCATCACAGGGTGGTATGGGAACTGCAACAGCCAGAATGCTCTACAGAGAGTGGTGCAAACAGCAGAGGACATCACTGGTAGCAGTCTCCACACCATCCAGGACATCTACCACAGCCGATGTCGGCGTAAAGCATGCAGCATCATTAAGGACCACACCCACCCAGCACATAGACTCTTCTACCTACTACCCTCAGGCAGACGATACAGGAGTCTGCCATCACACACAACAAGACTAAAGGACAGTTTTTATCCACAAGCTGTCAGATTACTGAACTCTTGATAAATAACACTGAACAATCAACAGTAACTTTGCACCAAGCCACATCTGTGACAACTAATATGTTTACTGCTGCTGTCTTATGTGGCTTTATCATGTATCTCACTACCTTACCATCATAATTCACTTCATGACAATGTTACTACCTGTGCGATAACCTGTCACACAACCTGTGCAAAATATGCAGCCACTTGGGCATGTTCATCCGTAAGAGGTTTCAACTTGCGGCTTCTAGTCCTGTATCTAGTTATCATATATCTTCATGGTTTAAAGTTGCTTTTTCTTACACTCCAGTTTGTTCCTAGCCTACATTTGTGAGTTCTGCTTTTCTCAATTTGGTCTCTCACTGCCAGGAAGAAATACCATTGTATGAATGCTTGTGTAATAAACTGTTTGATGTCTTTTAGCTGTTTGTTTTTGGCTCTGTTCCCCATGATGGTCTCTCAGTCAGTGAAACTGCCCAAGTTGACCACATGATAGTTTGGGTTGTTGTGCTTATTTCTGCCCAAAGCTCACCATTCTGGGTGTGGACAGTGTGGTTGAGATTTAATAACGAAGTGGACCTGCTTTGGATCCATTTTTACTTAGCTGTATATAATCCTGGCCTGGCTGGTTAAAATAACATAGTAAGGGGCAGTGAAAGTATTCATTTACAAATCCTTCTGTTTATGTGATTCATTCATCTTCTCCATTTTACCGTACTTTGCAAGATACACAAATCAGTATTTGATACAAAAAGTCAAATAAAAAAATCCATGAAGACAAATAAAATTTTGTCTTTTGCACACTGGATACTAAAAATGCTGCCTGCATTATTACTTTTCTCTTTCATTTTAGGAGTGTTCTCCATACGCTGCCCACCTGTACGATGCTGAAGATGCCAACACACCTATGAGGGTCCTGCCCGGTCTTTGTCGGGATTACTGCTCTGACTACTGGCGGGAGTGTCGATACACATTAAGCCTCCTCCTGGAGGACTTGGGGAACCCACAGCAGTTTGCTAACTTGACTTCTGCAATAGAAGAAGATCACAAAAGGTTTTGTGACTTTCTGGAGCTTAAGGACAAACAGTATTGCTACCCCAACGTTTTGACAAATGCAGGTATGGGTTCACCAGAAAGCCTAAAATAATCAAAGCACAGAAACATGAGTCAAAAAGAGCTCAATCAACATCATAAACAAGGTTTTGCTGGATAATCTCATTGCAATATTGTCAAAATCCACCACTGAAATTAGACATAGCACCAGTCTGAGCTGAATGCTAATATAAAAATGCTAACACATTTTATAACATCCACTAGCTAATGTGAGTTTCCATAGTTATGCTGAAATACATTAGCATTAGCAGCATGTTGCAGCTGTTCTACAATAGTGTAGTTTTGTTGGGCAGCTGTGGCTGAATGTTTAGAGCAGCCGTCCTCCATTGGGAGAGTTGGGTGTTCGATTCCACCAGCAGTCAAATGTTGAAATGTCCCTGGGCAAGACACTGAACCCCTAATTCCCTCGGATGTGTGTCCCATCAGTGTGTGAATGTGATAAAGCTCTGATTAGTCTGTATAGATCTAGTAGAGTGCTGTATGAATGGGAGAATGAGGACACAGATTGTAGTGTAAAGAGTCTTGAGTATCTTGATATTATAGAAAGGTGCTATATAAGTACAGTCCATTTCTAATACTCAGGTTTATCACATCTTGAAAAAAACTTTGTAGGTGATTCTGAAATTCTCCTTTGGTGCGATAAATGGTACGCTTTGCCTAGAGTCTGTTTCTTGAGTGTAAAGAGGCGTGTCATGAAGGCCAAGGAAAGTATAGACCAATTTTGCAAGACTAACATTACAATATGTTTTGCGCTGTAACTAAGTTTTTAAATGTAAAAAAGTCTTAGACAGGCACCACAAAGTTCATTTTATTATAAGAAAGCAAGTGAGAAAGAGAGTATGACTATAACAGCCTAAACAGAGGCTGGGAATTAGAGCAAAGCAACTAGTTTTATTATCCTGATGCATGCTCAATAATCCAGGTAGAAAAATCCAAAAAAGTTAAATCTGGTCCTCTGGACATTCAAAAAAGCAAAAAACAAAACAAATCAAAAAAATCTAGAAACGTTTCGTCTCTCAGCCAAGAGACTTCCTCAGTCTGAGGTGCTGTTTTCAGCTCAGTCTCTTAAATAGCACCTTCTCAGAGTGGATCAACCAGTTTGCTGCTGACAACCAAAACCAGCTGATCACATGCTCAAGAAGGACCATCAGCCTAACAATGGATCATTAGCACACTGATGGCTGTTTACTACTCACAGAGGGCTGAGTGATACTAGCAATCACAGCATTGTAAGAGGGGGACAGTTGAACCCGGAGGCCTCCACCCCTGTTTAATGATGGACGATTTCTTTTCACAAAGATGGCCTCCTTTACTCCTCTCTCAAACCATCGTTCCTCTCTGTCCAGGATGTGCACATCTTCATCC